TGCAGCCCCGGCCTGGTGTAATCTTCTGACTCAGGGTGGGACTGGGTTGATGAGGAAGGGGTCTGAACCTCTGGCTGGGTTGGGTGAACCATGGCGAGTGCTGGGGAAGGGGAATTGGGAGGTGACTAGGAAGGGTTGACGGAGGGTGGCCAGGCCCAGCGCAGGCTGAGGCTGCCTCTTAAGAGCTGGGTTGGGATGGTAGACAGTTGGGGAGGCCTGGAAGAGGGGGGCAGCCAGAGACTTGAATCAGTTCTCTAAGTAGAAGACACCCTATTTACTTGGCTTTGACAGAGATTCAGCCAGAAGAAACACTTTCTCTGCAGCAGGAGAGATCGAGGTTAGACCTGAGGAAGCTGTAAGAAGACAGAGGGGACAGCTATTGGCTCCCAGTCCAGTACTCTTCACAGGCCACTATGAAAAATCACTGGACTTGAGAGAGGGCCTATGGGGAGGCAGGGGGTCTCTTTTGGGGAGGACAGATGTAGGAGGGGGACCTTCTGGGGTAGGGTCACTAAGGAGGGACAGCCTGGCTCTGATCAATGGTGGAGCCCTTGTGACCAGTGAGAGGGCAGCTGGGAGCAGGATCTGAAGGGGGTGCTGGCATCCAGCCCCAAAGCTCTAGGTTCTCTGCGCTGGTGGGGGGCCTTGGGAAACAGCTGACAACTCCCCTCCCTTGTAATGATGGGCTCGTTTGGTAGAGCCTTGAAACTCTATCCATCATTAGAACGGGAGCAGCAGAGAGGTGAGTGACCCAAAGATACAGTCGGATGGCAGGGGAGGCTAACAGTCAGACAGACAGACAGGAGGATGGCCTTGGGATACACAGCGGGGGGCAGGGGCACCGAGGGTCTGGCCTAGGTGGAGCCACAGGTGCCTACATATTCATGGAAGAAGAGGCAGCTGGAGGTGGCATCCTGGCCTGGGAGTCCTGCAGAAGGCCAAACACTGGTGACCCTGAAAACTCCTCTGAGCCTTGATTTCCCCTGCTATAAAATGGAGGGGGTGGGAGGTTGGCCCACACTGTCTCTAGGGCCCCTTCCGGCCGTGACTCTGCTTCCAACTTCCTCCTTGCCCATCAGGGACTTCTGAACACACTGAGACTAAAATAACAGTGGCCCTCAGACAGCCCCCACCCCCACTCTGCACATCTCCCGTTCTCCCCGGGACCACCCTAAACCCACTGCAGGCTGCCGGCCCCTCGGCTTGACAGGTAACTGGCTTCTTCTCAGCCAGGTTTTAATCAGCTCAAGGGTCACCTCCTCAGAGAGGCCCACCCGAATGGCTCTGTCCAGAGCAGCAGCAACCCCCAAACCTTTCGTCCGCCTCGTCTCCTTCGAGCACTGACCGCCATCTCCCATTGCCTTATTGGCAGGGTCACCTCCTCAGAGAGGCCCACCCGAATGGCTCTGTCCAGAGCAGCAGCAACC